TAAGAAAAAGTTTCATGAGATAATAAACTTTTTTTTAGCTGTAGGACAACAGATTAATATAGTCAAGAGTTTGACTAATGCCACTCTGGTCAGATGCCCTAACCAATCTCTTCAGCTGTAAAATGTTACCCACACGCTATTTCTTTCTGATAAATTTGAAAGCTCACTTTTAATAATCCAGTAACATGTTTATTGGATAACTATTTTGCATATAATACAGAGCTATGAACTGTGGAAGTTTTTGCCAATTATGATACTTTTTATTTTGAAGATTGTAGTTTACTTGTTATGGTAAAATAGATTTCCCTAAATAAGTAACTAACAAATAAGTAAATAATAAATAGAAAAAATACACAGATAGCACTAAGAAGAAGTTACAGACTTTCTTTTCTCTGCTACCCCAGTTTCTTATACATACATTAATTATTAATTTCAGTTATTCACTTACTTATATCTCATCTCCCTGTTTCCTTTACTAGAATGTTAACTCCTTGAGAACAAGAATCAGTTTTATGGGGGAAGGGGAGGGGGGCAGGAAGGGAGAGAACAAGGGAATCTGTGGCTATTATGTAGAACTGAATAGTATTGTAAAATAAAAAAAAATAAAGGCAGTTAGTTCACAAAAAAAAAGAAAAAAAAGAATCAGTTTTATTCATTATTCTATATTCAGTATTTGGTATATAATAAATCTTTGATCTATACTTGATAGATGAAAGACCAAAAGAAAATAAATAATGAATGTTCGTGGGGCAGTGTTCAATGTAGTAGATTGGCTAACCTATCAAATCAGGATGTATTGGTTATAATCTCAAGTCTACCTTTGGAAATAGACGATTCTGAAATTTTTATCTGTTTTCTCCATCTTGGATTATCGTCATTAAAATGATAATGCATCTGTCCCTATCTGCTGATCTCACTATGAACAAATCACCCTAAATAGTAATGACTTGAAACGACATGACACTATTTAGCTAAGGGTTATATGGTTAAACATTCCAGGCCATCCTAAGTCTATTGCTTTGCCCTGGCTCTTTTGTGCATCTGTGTTCAGTTACTGGATGAGCTGGAGAATGTTTGGCCCGTGTAGGGTCTCCCCTTCCAACCAAGCTAGACTGGACTTTTTCACATGGCAGCTGTTAGAGCCAAAGTGTCGAACTAGAGAGAGTTATAAGCATATAATGTCTCTTAAGGCCTAGACTCAGCGCAAAGTCACTTCTAGCACATTCAGTTGGTCTAAGCAAATAACAAAGGCATCTCATATTCAAGGAATGGGAAATAGATCCAGTCCTCATGAAAGCAGGGATGCTTTTGCAAGCTACCAAACTCAGTATTAGCCAGAGGATTAAGAAACTGAAGGATGCATAACAGTGTCCATCACACAGATCACAAACTCAATAAGCAATACTGGTTGTTACTACTTAAAGCTGCCTTCAAAAAGGAGAGATAGTTGAGAGTTCTACACGGAGGACTAGCTATAGGTGCTTTACACGTGAGTCCAGAGTGTACAGAGAGCAGCTAGCAGTGAGCAACGTCCCCAGAGGAGCTAGAACTGCATCCATACCTAGAACTAGAATGTCTAGAGCCAAGTCCTTGGAGCAACAGTAAACCTTTGGCTTTTGGGGAAATGCTAGCCAACAGCACCATTGATTTTACTCTATCTCAGGAGCTCTTTGCTCTTCAGTACACCGCATGTTGCTGATGACCTTGGGATATCTCAGATCATGTCTAACCGAGATTTAAAATTTTTAAAGCCTAGAAAGTTATGAATTGTGTTTGATTTCTCCTTTCATTTGGAGAGAACTGTGTGGTCCTTCCTTCTTTTACTGAATTTTGTTCCACCTGTAACATGGAACATCATTTCCCCATTTTTGCACACATTCCACATGGCAGCAATCTCTAGGACCAGATCTCATGAAGCAGTATTCATTACTAACAGACACAGAGGAGGCCAGGCGCTGATATTTATACAATTTGAGGATCACTCAAGAATCTGAATTAGAAAAGTCAAGAGGCAGGAAAATAGTTTCAGCGCAGCAGCCCCTCATGCTAGGCACCCAAACATGGCCAGAATCGCTTTACAGATATTCCTTGTCCTTCCAGTCCAACAAAATAGCTGTGGGCAACTGGAGATTCCATAAGCCTGGATCTCTGCCACCTCAAAGACTGACCAAAGTGCTCAGAGCTGTGACAGCTCTCTTAAGAAGTCAGTGGTAGGTATTTCCGGATCTTTTCACTGTACATAATTTAATGCAGAATCTCTGATGAAGAATTTTGATAATTCTGCCAAAGTATGAAGACTGCGGAGATTAGATGACTATATGATTGGATGTTTGTTGTTATTGTGGTCGTTTTCTTTCAAAGACAATTCTTGCTTCTCTTCTGCCATGAAAAATCTATCCTGCTGAGTGCTCTTGAAGAGTCACATCGTCCTTCCTGCCATTTTAAAAACAATGGTGGCAGAGTTGCCAGCCGCTGATAGTGCTCAGCAGGATAGATCAAACACACAGACGCAATTTCTGTATGTTGAACAGTGAAGTAGGATAAAATTCAAATACTTACAATCGCTTAGAAGCTACAATCTGATTGCTGTAAATTGAATCTTTCACAACAGGATTTATTGTAAACAGTGTTGTAGCATTTGTGGGTCCAGCAACCATTGCAGTCAAAGCCTATGCAAGACATTAGAGGTATGAGGTTTACATGATATACGTGTTCATTTGTGCACAGAGTACGAGAGGAGTTTTTGGGGTTGGGCATTCTTGGTTGCTTACAGAAGAGCTGTAGTTATTATTTTGCCTCTGAAAGTTTAAACATCATCAAATGTGGTAACTCTAAGATGCAGGAGAAAATGAGCCAAGCACTTCATCTCAACCCCTGCTTCCCAGTGAGACATCTCCACCTCTGCTTCCTCTCTCTTCCAGCTAGACGCTAGATAAACAAAATAACAGATAGACACAAATTCTTAAAATGTGCTTTTTATGCTGCTGGGAAGCATGAAGACTCTAACACTCATAATTAGTGACCTATCTCTATTAGTAGTAAAAAGAAGAAAAAAAAAGTATTCAGAAACTCGAAAGGAATTTGATCCTCACAAAATAGACTTTAGTTCCTCTGTGATGCAATGGGAAGAAGGCTGTAATTTAAATTATCTGTCATTATTCATTGTTGAGTTGAGTTCCAAATATCTACTGGAAGTCCATAAAAGTCCAAAAAAAAAAAAAAAAAA